TTGATAATTTCTCATTGTGTAAAAATATAATTAAAAATAATAATAACTGACACTTTCCTTTTCTGCCCACGTGTGAATAAATTAAAAATCACTGTGCTACTTCATCTTCAATTATAATCTGTACAATATAGGATTGGAATATTTTTACAAATGTTGGTGAATACATTAATTTTAGCAAAAAGTTAAAAGCGTTCTTGGTCCATTGTAGGGTTAATCTTAAATGAACGTTGAAATATCTATGGACTTGATCACCACCCGATCGACCCCATCGACATAAATTTATTTATATTCCCATCGACGTCATTTGTTTGGTTTCTGTCTTTTTAGATCTATAGTTTTTAAGTTTCAAAATGTAAATTAAATTAATCTGGAAGATAAGCACTTTGCATGCACAAGTGGTTTTAGGTGAAACTTACGACGTGACCTTGGAGCTATGTTAAGTTTTACGTCCACGGTCCACCCTTTTCTTTGTTTAACATCCTTTAAAAAAAAATATTGATAGCTTGTAATTCACGTTTTGATGTTCTAATAAATTTAACATTTCATCAAAACAAAAATGGGTTAAAATTAAATATGCTTGATCAAAAGAAAAATTGTCACATGTTTATGTGTATCTTTATATGTTTCTGCAACTACACAATGTGTTTTGTTTAATCGTTACTCTCTATAACTACTCTAACAACTGTATGGTCATAGCTTTGTATTAGTTATTTTGCATTTTGAATAGAATTTTTTTTTTCTAAAAACAAAAAATATAAAGTTGTTTGTTTAATTTCGGGTAGGTTGACTTGACTCAGTTTATATACGTTTAGTTGAGATTTGACAGTAAATTCAGAGCTTTCTCAAATTCGAATTCATATGTATTAAAATTTTTCACAGCTTTGATTGTGGCTTGCACACTTGCATTGGAACTCAACGATTGTACTGATTGAAAACATGCCAAACTCAGAAAACAGTGTTAGATTTTTCATTGCTAATGCCCCGGCATAACCATCGTTGCAGATGTCCCTCAAATAGATAAAGCTATGATTGTTATATTGAATCGTACGTGGCTATAAAAACTTAGGCATTAGTCCCATGAGTCCTTGCATTGCATGGAAGTTACGTTAGAATTGAAGGCACACTTCGTGTCTTCAGTAGAGTCGTTCAGATAAAGTAAGGAAGTTGTATTCATAAATAAAGCAATAGATGACAATTAAATGTTACGGGGGCTTGAAAGATATATAGTGGGCTCAAAGAGACAAATATCTTAATTAACATCATAAATCGAATTTTATTACAAATTGTCAGCTCAAAGAAAGGTCAATTTACAAATAAAGAGACAGCTCAAACTAAACCTCTATATAAATAGTTAGTTGGAGACAAAGTACACTTAGAGCAGACAATAAGTTAGTCTCTCTCTCTAGATTGTCGTGTCTGCTACGAAGAGAGAAACTAAGAACCCTAAATTTCAAGATTAGTTGTAACCAAAAATAACAAAATGGTAAATTCGAGGAAGTTTCGAGGTGTCCGACAGCGACAATGGGGTTCTTGGGTCTCTGAGATTCGCCATCCTCTATTGTAAGCCTAAGCTATATATATGATCTCGATTGTTTATTTTTAAGATCTTTTTAAGTTTACATATTACAATGTTGTATTTGATTTTTGTTATGAAACTACACTTGTTAATGTTTTAGTCAATATTCAATTTGTATGATATAAAGGCAAACAAAACAATATGTATATATTTTGCGTTTAGGTTAACATTTTCCAAAAATTTATGAAGAAACCTAAAACCAACCGTTAAAATTTACGATCGAGTTTCTTGTGATGCGCTTT